AAATATGGAAAAAAGTTTTTCAAATATTTCAATGCCGAGTTGCTGCGTCAGCCACTGAACCTGGTACATACTGCCAACCTCTTGGATCTTCAAATGAGATCGGAAAGACTATAACATATTGAAATCATTAAATAATGTTTCAAATTTTCAAATAAATTAGCTCCTGGTCCTGTTTCAAAGCCTATTTCTTTGTTACTATCGCTTTGGAAAGAAATAAATTCAAAATTCAGCCAATAAGGTTTCTTAATGCTTTATAGTACATTTACAAAAAAAATGCTGATATTGGTCAATGTTTTTTCTTTTTATTTGAGATAATGACTAATATTTTTGGTTACTATTCATTTTGAGATAAATGCATTTCTATAGAGTTGAATATTGGAAATTTTCTGCTAACGATTTTTACAGGTTAGGTACTATTTGCCGAATTTTAATAATTGTTGTACACAATATCATGCCTTGAAGTGCTTCTGGACTTGTTGTGAATGTGTTTTTGTATCTTTTTATTTTTTACTTAATAAATACCTTCTGGGCTCAACAGCGCCTATAAAAATATAGAGTGTGACTACGATGTAAAAAATTGTCATGTTGTCCACGTTTGAAAATATTTTCTTGATTTAACATTTTTTTCTCAAGAAGTTTGGGATATCTACAGAATATTAAAATATAATAATGTAACGTTTTTCATAGTCAATACAGTTTTAGTAACTACAAAATCGACTTCAATAATTTTACATGTTCGAAATGGCGTTCCTATGTCCTTATAATATACTTTTTGATATCTTCCATACATTCTGTTACGCTTTTAGGGGTTCCTGTATTTATATGGATCTGTTTATATCCTATATATTCAAAACCATAACATCATTTATCTCAACACAAAAGGCAGTGCATAAAAATGTAACAACAATACTTTTTGATAAAAGATTTCGATTAAGAAACGGCACACAAAAAAAAGTGGTCCTTTATTTGACCCTATAGACTTTATGTCTATACATGCTGTACATGCTGAATCTGAATTTGAAGTCCGTTTAGCTTAAACACCCTCAAAATTTTGAGTAATTAGCAAAAAATAGTGTAAAATCACTGAAAATCACGTTAGTGAGAAAAAAAATCGAAAAAACTTGTTCTGTAATTGATCAAGTGGGTTTCTTATATATTTTGATGTGCTGAATACAAATCTGAAGTTTTTTAAGCTGCATCTCTCCCAAATTTTGCGAAAACCCAAAATAATAACAAAAAATCACCAAAAATTGTGAAAAATGACCAAAAATCTTCATCAAGTGTATTTCTTATGCATTTTGACACGTTGAATTTGAGTCTCTAGTTTTTTAGCTGTACCCCTCTCCTCCCCTTTGCAGATTTTGCAAAAAACGCAAAATATAGCTGAAAATGGCAAAAAATCATATTAATGAGAGTGAGAAAATTTAAAAAGAGCTTTTCCAGATTGGATCAGGTGTTCTGATAAATTTTTTTGGAGTTGAATTTGAATCTGTTGAGCCTCATACCCAAAAATTTAGCAAAAATCAGAAAATATCGCAAAAAAACATGAAAATCGCGAATCCGAAAAAATCGTTAATAAATGTCATGGATTTAAATTAGTTCCAAATAAATTCAACTGGCCTACTTTGATCTTGCTCTTACACTTTTCTTCTTTTGTAGCGAACTTTTTCAAACAGTTAAATTGCTTGATGAATCTTAAATTGCACTTCATATACTCTCACCTTGACTATTTTTTCTTAAAACCTTAAAGAATATACAATGAAGAACAAGGATTCCATCAAGATATAAGTGAAGTGGATTGATACCAAGGAAAATGGGATATCAACATTATGGCAGATTTCTGTTGGACACTGAAGAGAGAAACAAATCACAATAGACAGAAGAGAAAGAGAAACCCGCTCCATAGGTCAGAAAGAGTTCGATACAAAAGAAAAAAACTGTAAGAGTATCTTCAAAGAAAGCCTGGTCATATCCATGACATTTAAACATCTAGAAAACTTCTTTCTAAATTTTCTCACTCTCGTTAATATGATCTTTTTGAAATTTTTAGCTATTTCTTGAGTTTTTTTTGCAAAATCTGGGATACAGCTAATAGACTTCAGAGTCGAATTCAGCGTATAAAAATACATACATCAAGGTCGGAAAAAATTCGTTGGAATTTTTGTGCGCTCACTAACGTGATTTTTGGCGTTTTTTGGCGATTTTTCGCTATTTTTTGGTGATTTTTCGATATTATTTTTGCGATTTTTGCAAAATCGGGGGTATGGTATGCTTAAAACACTTCAGATTTAGATTTAGCACATCAAAATATACCTATAAGAAACCAACTTGATCAGAACAAATTTTTTCGAATATTTTTGCTCAAAATTTTGGGGGTGTTTGAGCTAAACGGACTTCAGATTCGGATTCCTATTGGGTCAAATCAAAGGTACAGACCACTTTTTTTTTGTATGCCGATGTAATGAAAGTCATTTATTTAATGTCATAGATATGAGACATTTTAAACTTGTAACTTTTACTGAAAATAATTTGAATTGTAAGAGTCTGAGTTCTTAGACATTTTGAGCAAATATTGACCTATTTGTTTATTACGCTAACAGCTGTAATTTTTGAGTTACAAGATTTCAAAAGTAATATGCATTGTGAATACGAACGATTAAAATAACGTTTATTGCTACTTTAGCCTTCAGTTGAATAGCTATTGAAATGTCCCGCTATTTCACGTAGTTTTTAATTAGAATTTTGACGTTATTTTATAGTTTCTCAGTACTATAACAAGTTCTTTTTTAAAATTCTCATCGCACGCACGTACAATAATTAAATAAATAATACTCACATCAGATCAGTTTAAAGCATTTTTACTTGGCTTTACTTTAACTACAATAATTTATTTTGTTTTATTAAATCTTTCCTGTACATTTATGTTATATTACGTTTATTTAACGTGCACTTGCAAATTCATATAGTTTAAAATTTAATATTTTCAATCTTTAGCGCTATATTAACCAAAACAACGTTATTTTAAACAGTTTTTGAACCATCATGTTCTAGGGGTCATAACGAACATTGTAAACACAACATGCAATTTAGTTATACTTATATTTTTATGCAATTTAGAATACAGAATAAGAATGTTTCTAATAAATAATGCCTTTTATGATATTAAACAGTTTTTTGTGAGTAATCTAATTTAATGTATTGTATTACCCTTTGTTTATTTGGTATTATATTTTAATTATCTACTATTTTGTATGCACACTTTTTTACTATTTTATTATGTTTTATTACATAACTATTATTCGGTCTATGACCTATTTTACTTTATTTTAATGTGCTTCTTTCTTTCTTTTTTCTGTTTTGACGTGTGTAAACACTTTGTGTAATAACATGGAATTAAATAAATAAGATCTATGCCACGAAATTATGCTTAAAAGGTCAATTTTTATCAAATTGTAGTTTATTACATCAAAAAAATTAAAACATAATTTGTTCTTTTCTCAGGTATCTCAATAACTTTGTTTTCCTCTGATTTTTTACTCATGCTGTGATATCAGGTTATATAACAAAATATTTTTAAATTTGAAATAAGAAAATACTTTATTTGTTGCTGGTTATTATATTACACCCTGTATTATATAGCTGTTAACTGGAAAATGTTTGAGTTAATTAAATATTTACTTGCTTAAGTTTCTTCAAAATAATGTTTAATGTATTAATAGATTTATTATTTTGTAATACTTTTACAAACAAATAGTAATTTGATAAATATATTTCGCAAAATGGTTCTTAAGATAATTGTACTGTATATTAGTTTATTACTTAACAGCTGAAGGCGATAGACAATATGAGGAATTACTATTATTATTATTTTTTCACTATACTGAGTGATTTACTTGGAAGGACGTTCATCATGGAAATTTCTGAAAGGACAAGAAATGCAATGATGCTTAATTTTTGTTTTTTTTAATATTAGAAACTTTAAATTTTCACAAATTAACAATCTGTATCTGCGTCTTAAAATGTTCAAATGTACCCACAATCAATCGTAAAGAAAGAATTACATTTTTCTACTGATCTATGATAGCATTAGAAGACTGAAGACATCATTCAGGAGCGCTTATCCTTGTGTACCTTTTTTATAATCTAACCAATTTGTACCTCTCACCATTTCCGAAATTGTAAGATGAGAATGATATTTAAACGAATTAAATTCAATGCCTTAATAATTGAGTTTATAAAATAAGCTTACAACAATTTTGTCTTTCTTTAATTTTTTACCCATGCTGTGAAATGACCCTATATAAGTAAATATGTGTAAATCCGAAAGAGGAAATTAATTTATGTACTGCATATATTACACCCTATATTGCATAGTTATAAACTAGAAACTGTTTAAGTTGATTAAATATTGATTTTAAAGTATGTTTAATTTAAAATTATAAATTGTAGATAGCTTTTTTGCAAATAATCTTGGTGTATTAATAGATATGTTATTTTGTAATACTTTTATAAACATATATTTATTTTAACAAAGATATTTCTCAAAATCTTTCTTAAAATAGTAGTATTGTTTATTTAACAGCTCAAGGTGATAGGAGAGATTAATTAACTTTTTTTTTACTATACTGGATGATTAACTTAAAGATATTTACCATAAGAATCTCTGAAATGTTGATTAAATTCCAGTTTTTTCATTTTCATCATGAGAATTCTTGTTATTATAACATTGGCCATGGCGAACTGTGCAAATTATTTCTTTATTCAACTATAACTGAAAATGTTCAAATATACATACCTACAAACTGTAAAGAAAAAATAATTACATTTTTCTATTCGTTTATGAAAGTACAAAAAAACTGAAGAGCGTTTATCTTTGCACAACTTTTTTTCTACAATTAAATCAAATTTTTACATATTTCTATGGTAAGAATAACAAAAATTATCAACATAGTCAAAAATATAATATTTATAACAAAAGAATACGAAAATTATATTCCAGATGAAAAGAAAAAAATTCTTTAATTCCATTTTTTTACAAAATGATGTTTATAAATTGTGTATTATTGTATATAGGTACTTTTATTTGGTAAAATAAAAGATGCTTACATTTATGGCAAAAATCATGGATTAGTTTAAAAAGTTTTCCAAAATAATTTACAACATATTTTTGTTAGAGCAGTGTTATGTGTATCATTGCACTTCTGCCATAAATATTGCTGATAAAAAATACTTCTAATGATTTCAATTCAATTTACCTAAAAAATATATCGCCGTAAATAAGCTAGAGCTGGCAGTGTATGTAAAATATCTATTGATAAATGCGTATAAAAATTTACGCATTTTTAGAGTATAATCCTATTAGTACATCTGCTTCTCTGAAGCCAGTTTCTATGGCGCCGTGGACTGTTGAGAAGTAATAGGGATGAGTTGCTTCCCCAGCAAATTGAACAATAGGTCGATTTTCCACATTAGTCAGTGGCGTTGCCAAAATAGTTTCCGAAGTAACCCCATTGCCTCTCTTGCATTTCACCGTTTGGAAAGAATAAACTCCTCTGAAATGAGGATTGGAATACCACTGAGATCTGAAACATTTACGATAAAATAATGTTTAAACATAGTATATGTGTATATACAGTGTGTCCCTGGACGGGGCACCGCGCTCTTGTACACTTTTTTATTGTTGATTGTCGAAAAAAAAGTTATTCTACATAAAAAGTTTTTCTTATCTTGGGAAGCCATGAACAGTAATCAAATACGTAATAAAACTTACAGGACGTCCAGAAAATTTCAAAATGTGAAATTTTCCCTAAGCAAAGTACCCTTAATTTGTTTTCGTTAAAAACTGTATTTAACAAAGTTATTCGAGAACTCAAGAAATTCAGTTTATTCAGAAAAGAACAATAATCACATTTTAGAACAAAAAGAAGCCGCAATTTTTAACTATCTTACATACCATATAGTTACCATGGATATTTCTTTATCAATGTCAAAGGCAACATATTTATTTTTATTAACTGCCCACCAAATAATTTTTATTAATAATGATAATCCTGGAGCAATGAATTTATCTTGTGAAATGTTATGGAATCGGCAATGTTTAAGTAATGTGTATGTAATCTAAAGTCATTTTTAGTTCTTAATTACTATTGTAAACGTTTAAAACGGTTTTTATCTTGTTTTACCTATCATTTAAAATTTTTCCTGAGTACGGTTTCGAACCCTTTCAAAATATCTATTGGAGGAAGTCATAACAGTATAAAAGTCAATACAACATAAAATATCCAACAATTGTTTTTACTACTATTAGCAATACTAATTAGAAATAATAAAACACTTCATAAATTCGTATTAGTTTCTTATTACGTACAATTTTTTTAAATCATTGATAAACAATGACTAGATTTTGTCATAAAAATAGCAGCGACGTATTTAAAAAAAATTAACCTGATGATGGCCCCTTGAAGACGAAACGTCGGATTGCGAAAAATGTTGACGTCATTGGATAGAGCGAAAAAAGTGGCATTGCAAATATGTCATTTATTTTAAAATACATTTTCAAGTAAACCAAGAAAAAAAAATAAAACGATTTTGCAAAATTTCGGATTTTTCGGGATATCTCTGGAATTACCCGGAATTTTAAAACTTTCTAAACGGCATATTGTTAGGTATAAAAAACACAACTTTTTTCTAATTTGAGCCACCCCGTATCTCTTTCCGTTTCCTAGATCCTAATGCTATCCCATCTTTATCTTGGACACGCTGTATATGATTGGAAAAATTGAGTTCAACTGATTTTCTTCTGTCTACTTCTCTGTCTTACCGATTTATCCTGTCAGGTTTGTTTATTTCATACTCTTGACTCAGGAACTTCTTCAGCACGTAATAGATTCCATTAATCAGAACCCTGTCTGACAGTTGCTCAATAACTGGAACAAAATTTCCCGTGAACCACGCTATGAGAACCTTTGGATTCTTCTCAGTCGTTTCGATTGCGTATAAGTATGTCACCCAAGATGTTCCAATCTGCCAACAAATCAATAATTAAAAAATTGTTAAAACTGAGCGAGATTATATAATGAGTGACCCCTTTAGTGTCTGTATAAAAGATGATAAACACCTGTTATGTCGTGGAAAAGGATTAAATATCTAATAATTTGAAGAGACCTCTTTCGTGATGTTTTCCAGTTACCGAAAAATTTTAATACTTAACGGAAAAATGAATAAATTGCAAAATTTCCGTATTACAATTTTCTTAACGTTGTTTAAAACATACTGAATACTTTTACTACTAATTAAATCCAAAATGATAATTTGTTAATAAAAGAATTGTAAAGAACCGGAACCTCTTCTTACATTGCGAGAAATTTTTGACTCCATTAGACAAAATAAACAAAATCTCAGAGAATCATTTTTTAAGATTTGTCATGTTGAGAAGAATCAAAACTAAAATGTGTTCATCTCTTACAAAATATTGTACGTACCCAATTTGGGTCCTCAGGAAGATCTCTAAGTACTGACCACTTATCTTCCGAACTCCAAAAAAAGTTGAACCCATTTTCATCCCCCCACCAACGCTTTGGGAAATGCAAGGCAACTTTCATTACAGACCCAAAACCAATATTTCCAATAACTTGGTGTTTGATGTCTGATAGTCTAGGTTCAAACATAGTATAAGCTCTTTCCTTCAACACGCCAATGGAAGGAGTGAAAATGACGTGATCAACAGTGTATTCGGTACCATCAGAGCACGAAACCGTCACAGCATTCTTCAGAAGGTTTTCATTCCACCGGATTTTCCTTACTTCATTATTGAGGATGATCTTAGTGTCAATTGGCAGCTGTCTTATTTTATTTGGGTATTTCCTCATTAATACTTCTAAAATGGTTTTGTACCCCAATCCGTTCCAGTTGAGTTGAAGGTCACCTCCACAATCTCTGTAGTCATTTTTGGCTGCAGGTTCGTACCAAGAGAATGAACCTTCGAAACCCAAAACTTTATGTTGAAAATAGTCCATTGTTGATAAAGCCAGTCCGAGTTTTTCCCTATCATGGCCGTACTTCTGGTGTAATGTTTCATTAAAGCTAAATAAAATAATAAGATTAATCATTTTGACTTTTCATTGTAGAATAATGTACAGGGTGTTCACGTTTAATCCAGAAATTTGAACCTAGTGCCAAAGAGATAGTGCCAACACGCGACCGGGTATGATTTGTTTTGATCTCTTAAAACAGCTGTATGCCAAGATTGCCAAGTTCCATTAATTACACAGCCACACAAAAAAAGAAAAGATGTCTGTACTTTTCATGCGACATATGTTATCTGTAGTATTTTTGCCTCCTGATCACGAAGCTATTATGATCATGAGCTATTACATCACAGGAATTTTCTAACCTCAAAAAACAGGTAAAAAATAACAAAAGTTCATGAAAAAGTGCTAGGAAAAATATAAAAATTTTTGTGATGGCCGACCAAATTTTCAAAAAATAACAGAATAGCAGCAAATTTGGTATACGGGGGTTTTTGGTGTCGCTGATTACGTATTCGAGGTCAGAATTGCGAAACTCATTTTGTAATATTTTACTTTATAACCTGAGTATCCAATCATGTATTAACCTACTTTTTAAGTAGATCAATGACCTCGAAAACCACCGTATACCAAATTTGGCGCGAATTTGTTATTTTTTGAAAATTCGTTATATCTGACCTTAATTGACCCGTTCTTTTGAGGTTAGAAAAAGAACCATCAATTTTGACCGCTAATTCATGTTCAGCGGGGTCTTAACTATATAAATGAACATTTGAATATAGAAAAAAGAAATCTATTTTTCCTACCACTTTTTCATGAATTTTTGTTATTTTTTACCTGGTTCTTAAGGTTAGGAAATTCCTGTGATGTGATAGCTCAATTCTGACACCGGATTCGTGATCAGGAGGCAAAAATACTGGAAAACATATGTCGCATGAAAAGTACAGACTACTTTTTTTGTGGTTGTGTTATTTTTTTAAGAATTCCAAAATTTCCAACAAAAATAGAAATATATCATTCCTTAAGGAGGTATATCGGGTTTACTCAAATGCACAGATGTACTTGAAATTTATATAGCGTATTACCCAGTGCTCCCTCTGTGCGTCATATTTTTTTTTATTTTTTTTTAATCTAGATTTTGATATATTGTTGTTGAAAGTTGTACATTTTAACATAGGTTTATATGGTGAAGATGGACGGTGCGGCTCTTTTTTGCCCATAACTGAGAAAAAACTGTAGAAATTGTGAAACAAAACTTTTCCATAGATAGTACACAGTATCATCTTATTTTTGACGTAAAACTAAGTTTTGAACATAGTACAGCTGTATTAATTAGAAACAGAAACCGATAAATACATTTCTCACTTGAGGATTAATGTGGCAACGTCGCAATTAGCTGACAGCAAGGAGGGAATACATTTGAAAGACTTGATAAAAACGAAATTGATTTCAAACAAAAATTTTTCCTAAATCCCATGTATGTACATTGTTATCAACAATAAATTATCCACAACAGATGATCTTCTGTAATGTTTTTAAAAAACTAGATTAATTAAAAAAGACTAGGAAGCTGTGATATATTTATTGGAATAAAAAATACAGTTGATAAATCCTTTTAATATATTTAATGGTTTATAAAAACATCGTAATCATTACCCAGCAATATTTAGGGTAACATAAAATTTTATTTACTTGATTAATATAATTAGTAATACTTGAGATAAAAGCATTTGTACAGAATAACAAAGGAACATAAATATTTCTCAGCAAACTTTATATCTAAAAAATTAGTTATAGTTGCAAAACTTTTGCAACATTACTAATATAGAGATTAAAAACACGAACAGTGAGTAATAATGTAATTTCTATCACAGAACCTTCAAAATTGCATCCAACATTTTCTTTGACTTGGACGAGAGATGGGCGCGAATGTCATTTCATTTCTTTAGAACTAAATTAACATAATTCTCGTCGTTTTATCAGTTCACATGATTTACGGATTTTAAATAAAGGATACAAATCTTCGCTAGGATAATACGATATATTTGCTATATATAATAATTATATTATACATAGTTTACACACAATACATTTTTGAACGCGTACGCATCTTTACCCGAATTTGACGCGCAATATCTCCGATGTCCGAGGTCTGTAGGTTTGCAGTGTGTACAACTGCTAATTAATTATTAGCGCTGTTGCCACATCTACATAGTCTTTATGCGTTCATTAAATATAATTTAAAACTACTTAAATATGATATTTTTATGTTGTTAATTAGTCAATATGTATGCTATGTGCATATCAGTAGATTTCGATATAGATAATGTTTATCGCAAATAATTTCAATAAAATTTAATTCTTTCAAATTGGCAGCGAGCATTAGTCCCATAAGAAAAGCATAGGACCCCCCTGCGCTCCTCACTTCCCTCGGACTCTGATATACTTCCTTAAAAACACCTACTTAAAAATGGCAAGATAAAAAATTTTAAGAGGTCACTTTTCACAACCATCTTACAGTGAAATTTCACATTTCATAATAAATTGTATACGATTTTCAAGATAAAATTTTTCTGTATGTAATCAGTATGTTCTTCTTTTTCAACCTACCATTAAGTTCGAATAATAAACTCAATGTCGGTGTCTTTGATCTCACTGGGAAATTTCACGCCATGTTTTTGGTATAGAATTTAGATTTGCAGACAAAATTTTTAATAGAAACTTGTCACATTTATATTTAATTCAGTCTTGTAATAATTTTTCCACTAACTTGAAATCAGAAATCTGACTGTAAGTATTCTGTGCCATTTTGTGACATTACTTGGTATTTTAACTTCGATGTGATGTAGTTGTCATTATTGCCATTAAAACTATACAGATAAAAAAATTTATTCGAATTTAAAAATATACTAGGAATTATGGAATTCTCATCCTGTATAGATAAAAGAAAGGTTAGCTTGGCAACAAAATTTGTTTATAGATTGCTATATTGGTCAACGCTATCAACAAGAAATAACGTGGTTCACAAAATGTTCTTGACCTGCCAAATTTTTAGCTTGCTAAATATTACACAATTCATCTGTTACATTACAAGTATTTATTATAAAAAATCATAATCGACTTTTGCCATTGATGCTACTGTAAAAATGCACAAAATGTTCCGTGACGCGTTTTTCCTAAATTACGTCTTGATTTAAAATCGAGATATGTAGGTACTGTACGTAGTGAAAAGGTGCAACTTACTTTTGTTTACAATAGTCCCCTACAGTGAGATAATCAGGCACATGACGATTTCCATCTGCTGTGTACACCTCGTCCATGATATTGAAGATTTCCTCAGAGAACCCTTCATCTATTACCTTTCCCGAAGAGTGATAGAACTTTTTCGACAACGTAGAGTGCCTTAAAATGTTGAAGTCCTTCACAAGGTCGTATACGACATTGTCTTCCTCTCCATGACACCACTGAGCGCCCAAATCCACAAAGGCGTCCCCAAATTTCACACTGAGTATTCTTCCACCGATCCTGGATTCTGCTTCTAAAACTGTTACATTTTTGAAACCTCTCTCCAGTAATCTAGTAGCGGCAGCAATGCCCGCTGGTCCAGCTCCGATAACTAGGATCGAAGGATCGTTTCTCAAGCAAAAAACAGTTGAAATACAAGCAAGCAGAGTACTAAGACTGAATATTGTTTTCATATCTGCGCAAGAGGGGTTTTTGATGTATGTCCGAATAAGCCCAACAACTACGATATGATTAAGTTAAGTTGTCAGTGCAACATTCGGTTCGGTTCAACATAGAGAATTAAATGAGGTTAAAAGTTTGAGGGCATCTATTATCTTATAATTGACGCGAGAGATGGCATAATAGTGAATCCTATGAGAAACAAAGTCGACGTTATAGTTCACATCCGGAACTGTTTCATTGCTGATGTTTCTGATTTTGAAATTATGATTAATCATCTCGGTCTCAAAGCTATTTATTAGGGCGTTATTTCATTTATACAACCATTTTTCCTTATCAAATTAATCATAGAGCGTTTTTATTTTCAGTACACGTTTGTCATTGATGCATATATGTACTATTTTTAATAAACTTCTTCACTCTTTCTTTTGTACGGGGTCATTTAGGAGATGAATGTATTGGAATCTAAGAAAGTTATGAGATATGAAAAACGGTTAAGAGTGTTAGATTACTATATTATTTAATGATATTAAAAAAAACACTGGAACTTGTATTGAAGAAAATTATTGCAAAATGTTTCAGTGTGGATTCCTTTACAACCTCCTTGTGTCGTATGTTTTTTTTATAAGTTTATTGAATTTTTAGCAGTTTGGAACGGATTTAATTGGTATTGACAAAATAGTAAATATTCAGTTCTAAAAAAGAATTTAAACAGTTAAAGTGAATTGAAATATTTGTTGTGCACAATTAAAATCTTATTCCTTGAAAATCATATTGGTATACCTACCGATGTTTATTATTGAAAAATCTACTTCAATTTATTTGTAATATACAAGATGCGTTTCAAAGTAGAGGTGATTTTTAAAAGATATAGGCCAATCAATAGAGGTTTTGTATAATATGACAAAAATTAGACGAACGGTCCACCCCTAAAAAGATGCATAGAAAATCAAGGTCACCGACCAAGAGAAAAGGCCAGGATAAAACCTTTTGTAATCGATGCATTGAGTTATTGCGAACAAAAAACCTAAGTAACATCTTTGTGTCCGAGTGGCAGGTAATTTGTTATTAACAAAAAAGTTGCAAAATAAAAATATTGCAAAATAACGCTCTGCAAATTTTCCTAGGTAAATTGGGCAAAAATAAACACTTTTTGTCTCTTGACATTTTTTCGCAGAAAGCTTCCTTTTCGAGCTAGGGGCGATTTAAGGTAGAAAAATGGCTAAAAGTTGCCAACTTTAAAAATTCATATCTCAGCTCCTACCAAAGCTTTCGGAACTTTCAAAAGCGCAAAATGATCCTCGAGACTTATAGTTTAATGTAGTATTTTTTTTAAACCCGCCCCTTTTTTTTAACCCGTTAAATTTGCAGTTGAATTTCGGCCGCTAGTGCCCACGCGTCACCCCTACGTATCGCTATATATAGATATAGGGCTGTCGTGCATATAATCGAATAAACGCTATTAATTCATTACTTGTTACAATTTTTACTATTTAGTATTTCTAACACTCATACATATTTTCAAATTCATCAAATATTGTATATCATATAATTATTTATAAGATTTAATAATATGAATATGATATTTAAATGAAAAATAAATTAATTAAACATTACAAAAAATGCATATATCAAAGGTATTTATTAATACAAAAAAATATATTTACATTTAAATATAAACTTAACTATTTAATAAAAAATCAATTTTCAGTCTCCGAATCAGTATCATCAGTTTGTATTTCTGCATTTTGACATTTTATAGAGCAATTGCAAAGATCGCAAAATTTGAAGCCTTGTGATAAGCAAGAACAAATGTCTTCATCGCTGCAGGGTAACTTTCCACTGCAGGAACATATGAATTTTTGTAACATTTCCATGGCCGTATCTCCTTCAAAATAATTGTAGCACAATACATTATTTTTTAATATCCAGCCATATTGTGTTGGGTCGAAGGATGTTATGCTTGCAGATCTTGCTTGAGACCATTCATTGATTTGCCATTTAACACGCATAACATGTTGTAACAATACAGGCTCTGCCGGAGGTATTGATGATGGTATTGGTATCATGATGATTCGATATTTACTATACTATCATGTACATACTAGCTATTGGGAATAATAAATATTGTATTAAATAACGAATAGCACAAGAATATTTTTCGAAAACTTACCTGCAGTTTTATACAACATTGAATATTCACATACGTTGCATGATTGTTTACAGACTAATAAAGGATTGTTGCACTATGACAGCACAAATGAATATTGTAGAAAATGTATTATTTATTTTTTATACATTATTTGTCAAATGTTCACTGTTATTGCCTGATGCCAGACAATAAACTAATGATCCATGCGACACCCGATCGCTGCAGTCTAATCCATTGCGCTTGTTTAAACAAGTTATAACAAGTAATTCGCATAAGCGCACGTTCGCGAAAACTCGGTTAGTTAATATTTTGGTTGACTATCTATGCGTATCCTTTTATAACATTTTATATTCTAGTTCTAAATAATTTTTTGATATAAATATAGTTATATATAGTTATTATTATTGAAGCTACATTAATGAAGATACAGTTATAAATATAAATCAATATATTTGTAACGTAATACATATTATTTTCCATTTAAATATGATATTCATATTATTAATCTTATAAATAATTATATGATATACAATATTTGATGAATTTGAAAATATGTATGAGTGTTAGAAATACTAAATAGTAAAAATTGTAACAAGTAATGAATTAATAGCGTTTATTCGATTATATGCACGACAGCACTATATCTATATATAGCGATACGTAGGGGTGGCGCGTGGGCACTAGCGGCCGAAATTCAACTGCAAATTTAACGGGTTAAAAAAAAGGGGCGGGTTTAAAAAAATACTACATTAAAGTATAAGTCTCGAGGATCATTTTGCGCTTTTGAACGTTCCGAAAGCTTTGGTAGGAGCTGAGATATGAATTTTTAAAGTTGGCAACTTTTAGCCATTTTTCGACCTTAAATCGCCCCTAGCTCGAAAAGGAAGCGTTCTACGAAAAAATGTCAAGAGACAAAAAGTGTTTATTTTTGCCCAATTTACCTTAGAAAATTGTTTGCAGAGCGTTTTTTTGCAATATTTTTATTTTGCAACTTTTTTGTTAATAACAAATTACCTGCCACTCGGACACAAAGATGTTACTTAGGTTTTTTGTTCGCAATAACTCAATGCATCGATTATAAAAGGTTTCAACCTGGCCTCTCCTCGTGGTCGGTGACCTTGATTTTCTAAGCATCTTTTTAGGGGTGGACCGTTCGTCTAAATACCAGTAGTAAACGAACTGTTCTATCAGACAGTGTGGAACAGCCAAATGGAATAAATTCAGTATCTCAATTATTATGCATATTATTAAAAAAATCCCTAGACACGTCGATTTTGGATTCTGAAATGACATCCTGCAATGTAAAAATTTCATCCCTAAATTCAACCCCCTTCGAATGGCAGTTACAACCCCTAAATTTTTAACTGGGAAGTAAGGGCTTGTGATACTTCATTTGAAAAGTATTTTCATTCTCTATTCAAAAATACAATTGTATTTAATATTTATTGCAAAAATTAGCAGTAAAAAAATAAATTAATCAGTTTGACGAAATTCGCTACAGCAAACTAAAAAAAAAACTTAATTTCAACGAAGATGTTCAAAATTAATTCCTTGAACGTCTTGGCCGCATCCTAATAGTAAATAAAAACGTCTTTAATGTTTTCCAACATCTGAGGCGTGACCAACTTAACCGCAACAGTTTTTTTTTTTCAATAAAATTGGCAATGAATAATTTTGATAATTTTGTATATCTTCTTTTTAGTTGAAAATGCTGACAAAGAAAACTGAAATTGTTTTTGCTTGCTAGAACAAAACGCTGTTTTTATATTTTTGTTTGTTGTAACAAATTTCGTTAAGCAGACCATTAATTTTTGCAATAAATATTAAATACCTTTCAAATGAGGTATCACAAGCTCCCTACTTCTCATTTAAAAATTTAGGGGTAGCAACTGCCACTCGAAGAGGGTTGAATTTGGGGATGAAATTTTTACGTTGCAAGATGTCATTTCAGAATCCACAATCGACGTTTCTTGGAATTTTTTATAAATGTGCACAATAATTGAAATACTGAATTTATTCCATTTGGCTATCCCACGGTGTATAAAAGACAGTCTGTAGATATATGTTTATATGTTTCCCATTCCAATTTACAATTAATTAATGTTTTATATCATTTTGATACAAAAATAATTTTTTAATTTTTGCTTATAAAACCTAAATTAACGAAGCAATCTGAATGCTATAAAGAGACCATTTGTAGAGAATCGAAATACGAATAAAACGAGAGGTCGATCGATCCGATTAGATAATTAGAAACCAAGAAAAATTGGGAAAATTGGAAAATTTAGCGTTTTCTTTTTAAATTCAGTACTTCCCTATTTTTTAACTTATAGAGCTGACCCTATGCATAAAAGTCGTGAATTATATGTACTTTAATTGTGCACAAAGCAGGCGCTGTCGGACCATTCGGTTTGGCACAACTGCAATTTGATTTTTTTGGTGCCCTATTTTGCAAAACTTCTGGATGCGTTGGAGGTGGTCCGATTTTAATTTTTCAGCCGGATTTTAAACTAAATAAATACTACTAGAAAAAGTGTATTCTAATTTTTCGATAAAATGATGCGAAATAGGTGAAAAATTCCTCTAAACATGCTCAGAAACGACCGAGCGCACGTACATGTTCGAGTAGTGGGAGAAGGTCGGGAGATGAGGTATACAATTTATCATACTATACCGTCAACAACCAGAAGCAGCTGCTTTTTACACCAAACTTAAGCATACACAGTGGCCAGGGTATCGGAGTGGTAAGAATACACGGAATCACAATGATGTGAAACCTGTGGACATTCCTTGTTTTGTTCCTGCATTTCTTGACATTTACGCGAAATCTTAACATCAAACGTGAATTTGAAAGGTTTCTTACAAAATGTACTATTCTGTTCCAAAGGATACATAGATTAGGTGTCCTTGTATACCATTAAGGACATTTTATTACATCTCCCGATTTTCCCCCACTACTCGACCACATACGCGCGCTCTGTCGTTTTTTTATCATGTTTGGAGGAATTTTTCACCTATTTCGCATCATTTTATCGGAAAATTAAGAATATACGTTTTGTACTTTTATACTTCTACTTTTATAATCCGGCTTAAAAATTAAAATCGGACCACCTCCAACGCAACAAAGTTTTGCAAAATAGTGCACCAAAAAATTCAAATTGCAATTGTGCCAAACTTAATGGTCCGAAAGCGCCTGCTTTGTACAGACTTAAAGTACATATAATTCACTACGTTTATGTACAGAGTCAGCTCTACAAGTTAAAAAATGGCGGAGTAGTGAATTTAAAAAAAAAACGCTAATTTTTCCGATTTTTCCAGTTTTTCGTTTCTAATTATTATCCAGTCGGATCGATCGACCTCTCGTTTTATTCGTATTTCGATTTTCAACAAATTGTCTCTTTATAGCATTCAAATTGATTCGTTAGTTTAGGTTTTATAAACAAAAAAAAACTAAAAAAGCATATTTTTGCATAAAATTGTTTATAAAATATTAATTAATGGTAAATTCTATATACAGTCTTTTATATGATGGCACAGTGCGTTTGCTACTAATATTTGTGTCACAAAATCATTGATTTAATACTTTTTTGATTGGTCTAATAAGATATTTCTAGTGAGACCATCTATTGGTAATTATATGCGTTGACGAGATAGATCATCCACTGATGTAGGTACTGTCATAATTTCATGATATTTGGAAGAATAGAAGCGGAGTAATTAAAATTAAACCTAAAAGACCGTCACTTGTGGCCAATTTTTTTACTAAAAATCGCATTTTAACTATCAACCACACCCCGTATTCGCCATATTTGGAACCGTGCAACTTTTACCTTTTCGGAAAAATGTATTTACCGATGAAAGAAGAGCTTTTTGTGGACACAGAAGCCATCCAAAAGGCTTGTACCGGCATCTTGAAGGAAATCCTGACCGACGATATAAAATACTCGACATGCTTTTAGACCACTAGAATCGCTGTATTGAGTCGGGGACTACTTTGAATAAAATAATCGGTTTTGCCATTTGCCAAAAAAAAAACATATATAAGAAGTGGATCTTATTTGTAGAAGGGCGAAACGGGCGGTGACTATGAGACGCCTTCATTATAGCCATCCTTGTCTATCTCATGGATTTCTATGGCTTACTTTATCGCTCTCACGTAACTTCAGATAGACCATCGGTACTTTCCTACACTGTATACATATGTACAGGATGATTCAGGGTTAATCTGGATAACTTCAATAGAACAGAACAACCGATAGAATAGGTTAAAATAATGTTCATTCATGATTTAAACTTATATCCTAAATCGCACCGTTTCGGAGATAGAGGGCGTTGAAGTAGGAATTTTTTCCCGTTTTTCCCTTATAACTTTTGAACCACTCATCCGATTGAAGTGAAAAACACAAACACTCCTTACCTTCTTACAAGCTCCTTAAGTCTGAACCACCAACCCCTCTTAGAAGTGTATTTTGTATGCTACCCCCCTCTTACATTATTTCAAAACTTTTAAAGAAATGTATTAATTTCAATAAAACAGCTGTACATCACCTTTACCTCATTAATTTTGAAACCTTTTCGTCTCCTGTTTTTTTTTTCGAAATTTTGCATTGTTTCTGAGATATTCAATGCAACTCATGAAAAACAAAACTCACAGTGATTTGTATAAACTGACGTTTGTGAAAATCATCTATAAAAGTATTATAAGTATTATTAAATTCAAAAGTTATGAGGGAAAAAATCCTACTTTAACGCCCTCTATCTCCGAAATGGTACGATTTAAGAAATAAGTTTATATCATAAATGAACATTATTTTAACCTGTTCTATCGATTTCTGAAGTTATCCAGACTAAATTTGAATCACCTTGTATACAATTTATGCGGCTGCGGCGCTACACTGTAACGAATTTCATTGAATATCTCAGAAACAAGGCCAAATATCGAAAAAAAAACAAGAGACGAAAAATATTTATTCCCTATTTCAATTTTTTAATATAAAAACGAACATTTATTGATATTTCCATATGTACCCGCAATATGTTGACTAATAATTTTGTTGAATAATGTTTTGATATATGCAACTTGAAATACAAGAATCCGTATTCATGCCTGCATACGATTTTATGCACCTATACAAGCAATTTTGAATATACGAATCTGTATGACAAGTTGCATAACTTAAATTAAATGTATGTATTTTAGTAACTATTAAAGGCAACTTTACTGAACTTGATTAATATTGTTTCTTCCAAAGAAACATTGGACCCTCTTATAACTTTCCTTTGATTAGTTTCTGAAAAATGTTTAGTATAAACTATAAAACCCTCGAATGACTTTAAAAGTGTTTTTTTCAATATTCTTGTTGCTAGAACCGAGATCTCTGTACAAGGAGGAGGAGTGAGAATTTGCATTACACCAATAGTGAATGTTGTGAAAATTTAGTATGCCTTCTCCAGTTAAAGAACATTCATCCGTAAAAAGCACCAGCCTATATAATCCGGATTTTGTGTTATTTGATGTTGAAACTATTGGCAAAATTCCATACAGGGCTGAAAATCATTGTTATTTATCTGAACCCTTTGTCCATGATAGGGGTGTAATAATTGTTCCCGTAGTACATTCCACACGGTACTATTAGTATTATACGCCTGCTAAATAATACCGCTACAAACAACGCACGTGAACAAGATGCACAGGGTCGGCTTACATTTATGGTTAATTTTCTTAATTAATTTTTTCCAAAATAGAAGCATTTAGACCACTAGTTGCTTAATAAAAGTTGTTCATTTTCGTGTCCTCTATCATCTATTCCAAGAATCGCACTTACTTCAGAAACACCCTGTATTGATGTATTACTTAAAACGAAAAAAAATTATGTATGTGTTAGATAATTAATTAAAAGTGAACACGTTTACAGATGTTAACGCATGCGCATTAAAAAAATATTGATGAAAAAGCCTGTTGTGCGGAATGAAAGGAATGCAATTTAATTTCTTATTAAAAAATTGATAAACGGTCAGCTCATACAAATTTGAAGGTAGTTTCTGCGGGGCAATAAAACTAATTTCATATATACATATTTAATATCTGTTTGTAGTTTATACATTTTGCACAGGATTTTAACTACAAATTTAGTTGTATTTAAGTTATCCACAACTGACCTTAAAATTTGGATCATTCAACAATCATCTTTTCTCTATATAATATATTAACATGTATTGACATAATTTTCGTATTATCAGCGATTTGTTAATTACTAATAAATTTCTTACAAAATATGTTTTTGCACTACAGTATAAAGAAAATATCTATCACTTTCTACAAGTTTTATACAGAGTTGTACCAAAATAATATTTTTCATAGAAATATAGACATTGTCAAAGTACGAATTAGAATCATAGAATTAATGTAAAATAAATATATACAAATTATTCATGAGAATTTTTAATTTGATAAATTGTCTGTACACTCAGTAAATCTAAATACGTTTCTCAATTGTTTCCAATATTTTTTTGACCAATATTCGCAATTTCCATAAATAGTTTCTAATGAGGAAGATGGAATCGAAAAACAAAAAAGTAATACGATATAAATTATTTAAAAACGTAATTGCAAACTTGTAGAGATAGAAGCAACAATGTATTGTATAAATATATTTCTTAAATATTTCATATAGAAGCACATTTTCAAAGCACTTAAACATATCCAACTGTACAGAAAGATATGTGCCTAACCATCACCCGAGAATTACTGACAGACGCGATAAACGGTTAAAAGATATTGCAGTAATGAAGTATTTACTAAAAACTATTGCTTGCCTTTTTATATATTCACAGCTAAAATCGAGGAAATCCAATTAAAGTTGGATCAGTTTCAACAACAATATATAATTTAATCCATAACAATTCGTAAATAATTGATTTAAGTGGTATCAGCAGTGGGCGACAAAACAGAATACAGATTTTCTCATTTAAAAGTACCTACTAGTTGTCTTCTAAAAGTTGACAATAAAAATTTTCGAATTCTACATACAAAGTGCTTGTTTGACATATTAGTAGGCCAAATGTATAGTAGGCATAAGTTTTTTAATAACCCTGCTGACTTAACAATTTGGAATTATTATGAGAAATTTGGATGTGATAACAGTACAGTAAACATAATAAGTTAATACACAATGAAACTGATAATTCCTGATTTGTCTTCCACTTGCTGAAGTTTTAACAACAAAATTAACCCTAATTCTATGTACACAATTGAACAGTTTAAAATATATCTACAAAATTATTTTCAAGTCCATGGCACACAAATTTCAGTAACTTATGTTCGAAACCTTCAAATGTACAAAAAATTACAATTACAGTAAATAAAAATAAATAAATTAATGTATCCTAAATTAAACAGCAAAAGAGTTAATCACACTATAAAATATGGAATGCATATAGATGTAAATATTCGCTTAATTGCATTGTTTGTGATAACTGTAGATTACACATCTTATGGAATATTTCAAGATGCAGAAAAGTTCAATACCTTAGAATTACTAGTATCTATTTTCTTAATTTTTTGGATGATCAAATTTATGCTTGGAAATTATTTTGTAATTTAGGCAAACATTGTTATTTTTCAGTTCTATTATTTTGAACAATAAAAATTGAAATTTATTTAATACAATTTATATTTATCAAAATTACTGCCCTACTTTTTAGTATTACTTGTGACCAGCGTGAGGACCAGATTTTGTTCTATTGATTCTTATATTTGAAAACATTAGATACCAAAGTATATTTGTAGAAAAATTACAAATTTTACTTTTAAAACCTTTGTTGTTCCCATTCTAGAAGATATACATCTTGAAATATCAATGTGACGTTTAGGAATACTTTTCTCAAATATACATCTATTTACAGTAAGGGCATTATATTTTTTAATTAACCCTATAGGAATATCTGGTAGAATATGAGCCCCAATTGAACTACTTAAAGCTTTTCGAGCATAGGCAATTTCAATGATTCCGGAATTTCTATATCTTCCAGGCATATCACTGAAGGATTGAAGGGGAATCTTACTGGGAAGTTGTATTTGACATCCATGAGCAAAGTCTGGAAAAAAAGGAAATAAATAGATCAAATATTAAAAACTTTCTTTGTGCAGACCTGTTGTTCTTGACTTTGAGGACGTTCCTGTAACTTAGCCTGGACCTTCCTGATGAAAGACACAGGCACCCTCTGCTCAAATTCATCCACAGGAGTATATAGGTTGAGTATTTTGCATATCTGCAAGGGTGTGAGGGCACTACACATTTCACAGACGCTCGCCACATCTTCCTCTGTCTTTCTTGCTTGTAACAGATGAGCCGCTTGTATGATCGGTTGAAGAGTCCCTTGTATAGCAGCTTCCTACAATTGGTAACAATGTTTTAGTGTTGTTGAATGAAGGAATTTTTATAGTTTTACTTACATCCAAACTTTTCTCTCTCGTCCACATTTCAAAGTGGGAGAGGTTATGCCTGATTTGGAAGCCTTTGGACCAGTGACATAATTCTTTTCGAAGGAGCAGGTTGTTCAAACTTGAGGCGCACAGGAAGTAGAAGATTTGTTTGAAGACTTGAGAAATCACTTCTGGATCAACTCCATAGAAGGTTAATATCTGAAAGGTAGTCAATTTTATACCTCATTGCAATCATATATTCTTCCTTTTTAAAGGAAATATCATTAGTTACCTTGTGGTGGTTGGTAAGTTCTTGAAGTAAAGCAGTTGTAGGTTTCTGATTGTTAACAGGACTATCCAGATCTCTAGCTAAGCTACTAGTTCTTCCTCTGAAACCACTGGGTTTATTGCCACTAATACCTGGAATTTCCTCATGTTCCAAGATGGCCGGTACTATAAGTGGTTGAACTTTTTCCTCAAAGTTCTTTATCAGACCTTAAACGTTTAAATTTGATATTAAAACTTTATTCATTTAACGAGGATATTTTATTTCTTACCTTGATATATCCACACAGCAATATCTGATAACACTTGTCTGTATTCCGACAGATCAAAGTTTCTTAAACATTGCTCGTTCTGCTTTGAAGTATTTTTCTTCTGGAATGCTTTGTCACCACTGTACTGCTTCATATTGTGCAGCAACCTACAAATTTAGTCAGGTAATTTTTACATTGCAATATTCGAATTTATATCTATCAAGAATTACCTTAAAGTATTTGCAAGCCAAAGCGTAGTGGTTTCGAAATCGTCATGCCGTTTCCTGATAATTTTCTTCACCGAGTTTGTGAATGCCGAAAGAAGAGTCTTTACTTTATCTTCATCATTTATGTAATCCGTATGTCTTATGCACATAAATATTATGTAGGCCGGAAGACCAGGAAGAAGAGCAACAGCAGTTCGTGGCTTAAGTTCTAAAATACAATTGAACATATAGAGTCTGAATGCTTGTAATAAAATTATATAAAAAAGCAAGTGTAAAGAAAAGAATCGAATCACGTTTACCTAAGACCATCTGCTTCATGATGACATTTTCGTCTCCAGATCGGAATGAAAACATTCCCATATATTCCCTCTCCTTTTTCCTTATTGTCGGGCCAACTCTGCTTGGTGCGACAGGTGCTTTGGCGTTGGAGTTTGTGTCGTTTTCTATTATTGTAGCATCATCTAAGTCTAAACCGGCTTCCTTCAGTTTCTTCGCGAACAGTTTCATTTGTTTCTTTAGCTTCCTTACACTTTCCGTGAGAGTATCGTTTTTATCCAACAAATCGAGATTTTCTGTCGTCAATCTGGTTATTTCATGCTGCATGAAAGCTTCTCCTTGTGACTGTGGGGTGTTGGTTAAGTTGGCGGCGAGTATTCGTTGTTGTCTTTCATTATCTTCTCTGAGTTTCTCTATCTCAAGTTTGTACTCTTTTTCGTGAGCCTTAAACTTAGACTTTTCATCTTGTAGTTCCAGTTCCAGCTGTTTATTTATCGTTTTTTGAGTTTCGTATGCTTGTGCCAGTTCCCCGTCTTCATTTATGTATTCACCTATAAAGGTCGAATTAACGTTCGACAATTAAAAATCAAAATAAAAATGTAAATCGTGCAAAACAAAAGATAACGTAATTGGGGTAGTTAAAAAAATACATTACAGTAAATTGAAATTACGAAACAAGGCAACTTTGGATCAAATGTTTATAACATCTGATTCAAACAAACATATAATAAAGAATTACATAACATGGTCATATCGTATTTTTTATAATTCCCCAGTAAAAGTAAACTGTACCTGTCCTCGTCTTTGAGTTAAGTATGGTTTTCATGTTATTTGTCTGGTTCGCTAAAACACTCTTCAGCTGAATCACCTCCTCCGTTTTCCTCTCCAACTCATGTTGTAACGCTTGCAATTGCTCGTGCAATTTGGATAAGCCGGTGCCCTCATTAATACTGTTTTGTAATTCGAACAATTGAGCCTTCAACTGAGAATTGCACAATTCAAGTTCAGATATCCTAACTGCGTTATCTGCATCGTTCTTAGCTTTTTCTGTCCTCGGAGACATGTCGATCTCGTCTAGTCTCTTTTGCATCCTCATTTTTTCTCTTTCCACCTCTGCAAGTTTATGTTGTAGCTTAAGTACGAGACCAACATCAATTTTCGTTTCAGTATCATGTTTGGCGTTGGCTTCGCTGCTGCTGTTCGTACTCGGGGTCTGACTGTCATTTGTTCCTAGGAAAGTGATTAATGAGTTATAAAAATATCTGATAAGGTACTCGCTACAATTTTATCTTATCTTAAAAAAATGAAAAACAGATTATTGCAATAACTTTAGAAAGATGTGTTATAAAGAAGTCATTCGTTAAATTTATTATAGTACGTGGTTAGGCTTACCATCAACTATCTTCCAATCAATATTTTCCAATTTTTCCCTAGTATGCGAACTGTTGCTAGTAATCGATCTAACAGAGCCATACCCGTGATCCTCTGGCAAGTCACTGTTAAGAAGGTTTTCATCGGCTGTAGAAATACTGCTTATATCACTAACATTCCTTTTGTGGAAGCCCTGTTGGTTCTGACTCTGCAGCTGTTGTTTCAATTCTTCGCAATGCTGTTCTAAGTAGTTGTACTGTTGCAACAACTTCTGGTATGCTTCTCTATCACTGTCCGCGTCGTTAAGAATCATCAGTTTCTCTTCTTCCAGTCGCACCTTTAGATTTTCTTCAGCTCCCTTCTCGTTCATCTTTACTATTTCGTTGATGTTCTCCAGTTCCTTTCGTAATTTCGCAGTCTCCAAAGCCCATAACTCCCTGTGTTTTTCTGTTTCTTCTTTGTATTTCTCTTGTTCGTGAATCAAGTCCATCTTTTCGTCCCTCTCCACTTTTACGTCTTCTTCCAATTTCGCTATTGTTTTATTTTTCTCAATCAGCAAGTTGTTCAGGTTTTTGATTTCGATTTCCATAGCTTTAAATGCTGTCATCTTATTCCTAAAAGTATAGATAGATTAAGCTAAAAAAAATTATATACAGTCAACTTACTTTAACTCATTCACTTCATTTTGATAATTTCTTAATTCGGTGTTAGTTTTGCTGACTTCATCAATTCTTTGCTGTAGGCTAATAATCTTATTCTCCAATCCCTTGTTAAGTTTCTTGACATGTTCGATAGATCTAGCTTCGATTCTGAGCTTCTTGTATTTCCTCCTAGCCAAAAACCTGCGAACAGCAGCTTGACAAATAACGATTTGCCTCCGCATTCTCTTATACTCTCTTCGTGCCAACCATCCACGTACGTGTTTCTGGATTATTATAGCCTAAAAAATAAAACTTCACAGTTGACTTCTGTATTATACAAATTATGTACATTTTTATTACCTTTGCATTATATTTAAGATTGAGGAAGCGAAGCCTTGCCAAATAACCTCTAGCGTATCTCTGGATACCAGTAATACATTGCCGTAGCCTCTGGTATTGAACCCTCTTAGCCCAACCTCGGACATACCTCTGAATGGTCTTTGCGGCCCTTTCTCTTCGTAAATTGCTTGCAAGTCTAAAAAAGAATCGATTGGTTAGAAATTAAAAGTTTTTAGTTGTCAATGATTGGAATTATTTTATATTTAATAAAACTTCAAGAACGTGTACCTTCTTGCAAGAAAGCCTCTGGAATAGCGTTGAATAAGCAGAGTCGATTTTTTTATCCTTAAGTACTTCTTTCTCCATATAAACGATCTGACTGTCTTCTGCATCATTATGCAGCATCTCTTCAACTTCTCCGCTCTCAGTTTTTCCAGGTAAGCTACCTGTCCAGCACGGAAGAATATCTTTGTCTTACCAAACTGATAAACCTCGGGGTTTTTTATGTACTGCTTCAGTATAGTCTCGCACGTTTTCTGCATATTGTTCCTAATGATATCTTTAAATTTGCACAGTACTCTGTATCTATAAAAGAAGTCGACATAGGTCCATCTACTTGGAAATCCAGCTGAGGATATCCTGATAGTTTCCAGTACACCACATGCCCTGAGCTGTTGAACCGCTCTTTTTGGATTATACTCGAAAGCTGCCTTGGAGTCATTGGGTTTGATACACCGCACATAGTGAGGGGTTGTGGCATTGAGCGTGGACATCAGTAAGTTAAGAGAGTCCCTGAACTGGGATCCTACAGATTTCTTATGTGTTCTTTGAGAAGTTTGAGCAGGTTTTGCGGCAACAACTTTTACTTTTGTTCCTGGAGGTGCCAGCTTTTGGGATTCGGACGCAAAGAGCATTTTGACTAGATGATTTTTACTGGCTTTAATTACATTAATTTGTTCTTCTATTACAGTGTCCCGATTTTTTTCCAAAAAGCCGTTACTCTCATATTGTACTTTATCGGCAAAATGATTGATTACGAAAGATGAAGAACCAAACCGGCCTTTAGCGAAGTGGGAATATTTCATGCATTTAGAATACAATTTTTCTGTCCAAGAACCATCAGAACCTTTCGGCATCTAAAAATAAATTGAAACGATTTATTTTTGTTATTACCATAATATTATTCTACGTTTACCTACCCTGCATTCCTCATCCAACAGATCCAAAATTCCTAGCTTCGTCTCAATCAAGTCTATGCAAGGCTGATTGTCGTAAAAGTCTATCATCTTCCATTCTATACCTTCCCTGATATATTCTTCTTGCTCTAGCTTGAAAACATGCAGATTGAACTGCTGTTGCAATTTCTCGTTGGCGTAATTTATGCAAAATTGTTCAAACGAATTAGTTTCGAAAGTTTCAAAACCGTAGATATCCAGTACACCGATGAACTTATGTCTTGGGGTGTCCGTTTCTAAGGCTTTGTTTATCACCAGCACTATCCAGTTGAAGAGCTCTGCATAGATGTGTTTAGCAAGTGCATCTCTGGATACAGCAGCCTCTTCCACACTCATAGGCTTCATGAAGATCTCCCTCATCGATACTAATTTTCTGGTGCAAAGCCACAAACGCATTTCCTCCTCATCTATGCCAAGAAGGTCCGAAAGTACCTTCATGTGTTTATCACCCGGTTTTATCGCACATCCTTCCTGATCTTGTTCGTTTTCTGTCTCGATAATACACTCAGAAAACTCGATGTTACCTAGGTGGAGGATGGCTGCTAGGATTTTGAACATGTCATTCTGTTCGGCTTCGGAAAATCCTAATAAATTGAGAGCATGGATAGTTTCCTCGAAGCTATCCAAGTCATCTACTCCAGACACATCTGGACTTTCTCCTTGGTTTAAGTAGTGGAAGTTGTTTTGATGCACTGTATTAATAGAGTATTTATTATTAGTACAAAGAGGTAAAATCTAGATTTAGAAACATTGTAGATGAAAGGATTCGGCGAAAGAAACGTCATAAACCAGGCTAAGACAACTTCAACATTTCTTTATTAATAATGTAATAGTAAACAATCTAAATTAAAGATTACTTACTAAAATAATTGCTAGATGTAACAATTTCTAGAATTATCATATATTATTTGACAAAAAAGTGCATTACAAAAATATGCTATAACACAGTTTGTGATTTCAATATCTTTTACTCAAGTTTTATTTGGGATTCGCAGATAATAATAATTATATTTCCTTAACTATTAGTGTGCATAAGTAAAGTTAAAAATTGCATTCTATATTAACTGGAGATTTTTCTCATGAATTCCTGTAGCCGCTCCATAAAAATGCAATTAAATAAATTTAAAAAAGTAATAACTAAATAACGTAATCAAATTTATAGGTAAATTATTAATTTTTGGAATATTAACTATTTCTTTGTGTATATTATAGTAGACTACTAGACTGAATGTTTTAATGTGTCGTCAATTTGATATCATATCCATTACACGCGATCGTAATTATTTCATATCTGAATTTCCAATTTGATTTACTTCAAATAATAATATTTAAACTAAATGGGTGCATAGTAAATAAAAACACAACATTTTTTTCTTTGTTTGTAACTATCACTTTAAATATACTACAACAATTTTATTTGTACCGTCACTACGTCACTTCAAGTTGTCGAATGTAAAATATATTTATTCATTATTCATCTCATCACACTTTTAAACACTAATCTATTTAATTTATATTTTCTTATTTTTGTATAACAACTTTTACGACTGCCTTGCAACTCTTAAATAATATGCTTTTTAAACACATCTTTGACCTCACCTTTTATTTTGAATAAAAATTTCTATTATTTTTCGTAAAGACATTTTTACACAAGGTTTTTCTGGGATTCGCATGTAGTAATTATTAGCCATTGTTTAATGCATTTAACTAAACTCTATGCGTTCTAGTGTCCGGTTCATAGTGACACGAACAGTCAACTACTATGTTCACTAACAATGTTTGTGAACAATGTAATAACACTTGCAAAATTAAGCCGAATAATGATTGACTGTGTTCGCTAACAGTGTTCGTGAACGATGTTAGTAAGGTTTGACTTTTCACTAAGTTGAACGTTATTTTATATGGTGATTAGGATATCATAAATACATTACCAAACTTAAAAAATTATTACTTAGTTGAAATAAATCTGTCACCTATTTTTTTAGAATTATAATATATTATTATATATTAGATTATTAGAATATTAACACTAACTTGTACTGCCTCTATCAAAAGAAAAACAAGTAACTATATATTCTACCACAATATTTTCCATTTGTGTTTTTATTTATCCTGCCATGATATAATATCTTGAGTAAATAACTGACAAAACACTTTTAACTTCCTGCATTAAATAAAGACAAATACTGCAGATACTATATTTTTATATAAAATGTTGATATTGCAAAATATTGATTATTTATAATTAGTTAGTCGAATGTGTAGAGGGCAAGTTAAGAGGGTAAGTACAATTAAGTATTGAATGTAATATGTTGATATAATTCCTAAGTATTTCATAAATACAACAGCGTGCAAGATACAATCTATAAAAATTTAAACATTTGACATCACACCTTTGCGTTAAAATTTTGAAAAACAAATGAAATACGACTAGAAAAAGAAATAATATAAAATCAGTTTCCTTCGCAATTATTCGAAATTTTCTAAATTTCAAAACGAATCCGTGATCGGCATAAAATTCTGGACATATTTGCTTATTTAACCCTTTATGTATCTCTTAAAATAAGAAAGAATGGACAATTATTATTGAGTATATTTTCACTTAATATTAAGTATTTTGACAATTTTATTCATTTATGATAATATTAAAATTAAAACTGATTAATATTACTCAAATTAGGTGCCGATTAAATAAGTAGGTACTCTAAATAATAACCTGGTATTTAGTACACTTTACCATTGTTTAATAGTAAATATATTTTATTACTCATGCGGGATAAGTCCCATCTTTCCGCTTGTTTAGGTCGGCAAATAGCTGTTTACCTACTCTATTTATTTGCGTGCGGTAATCACACTTGTCGCCCGCGAATTGACAATAAAACACGCAAAATTTAAATAAATTATGCTATATACAGGGTGATTTACAATTTATCCAAAAAAATTTGGGAATAGATGCAGCATGAGAAATGGAATAAATATCGTAAAAAAAATTTTTGTAAAATCCTTATAGTTTCCGAGAAAAAAAATATTGAAGTTATAGTACATTCAACCACTACATAGCTCTAGCGTCATTCGCCACGTGGCCTCAGCGACTCCGAATACTGCATTCGGATTTTGCAATCGTCGTTGCGATATTTGCCTGTTATCTGTGATGTTTACAATGGGTTTTTAGTAGTTAGTGTCAAAAATAGGTAGTTAGTGTTAAAAATGGTTTGCGTGTACTCGGAGTTGATGAATATCGTTTTAATTTATGGTGAAGCATTTGTGTTATGGTGAAACAAGATAACATTTGTGTTAGTTCGTAAAAACTGAGTACAACGGACCCAAATGTGTTTACACTGGTGGATAAAATTTTGAACAATTGTTGTAACATGGGGTATGTTAAATGATTTTATTATTTAAAAACACAAATTAATTTCATTAATTAATAAAAGCAAAGGCAGTTTAATTTGCCGATATAAAATAGGTGCGATAAAATTCTATTTACATTTCTTTCCTTGCGAAAGTTTTTGTCCGTTTTTATCACACCGCCATGCCTGTCGCATTGTGCGAGGTCAGGTTTTACAGTGGACCAGTTTTCAATGCCGTGCAGAAGTGTATTTTCAAATCATTTTTGAACTGCCCTTTTCGACTTTTTCTTTACAAAATTGTATTTGTAAGGGTCCCTTGTATATCCAGAATTTTTTTTTTTTGGATAAGTTCTGAATCACCCTGTATATACATGCTATAGCCTAGAACTCGAAAATATTATTTTTATAAAGTGACATTTAAATGACAGTTGATAGTTACTTATGTCAACCTAAACTGAATAAAAATCTGAAAATAAATAAATTAAATCCTGTGAAAACATGATTAGAAGTCCTATAATTGTACCAGAGAGTGATGCAGATACACCGCATTCGTAATAAAAAATAGTATGTGCAATTCGTGCGGTTGTCTATTGCCCAGGCTTGAGCGAATTGCACAATAAGTGCGGTAAGTTATTTTTTTGTCTATTGCCCACGAATTGCACATACTATTTTTTATTAAGAATGCGGTGAAATTTTAGGGTCAAGGGACGAAGCCCCGGTAGTGGGGAACAAGTGTAATTACCACGCAAATAAATCGAGTAGGCATACAGCTATTTATCGACCTAAAAAACAAACGAAAAGATAGGACTTATCCCACATGAGTAATAAAAAGGGTATTTATACAATGCTTGTACCACATTTTCTTTATTTTTCTTAAATAGCCGATACAATTTTTGTCTATATATAATATTTATTATGTCAGGAATGGGAAACAGTAGGTTTCATTAAATATTTATGTAGTTTTAGAATTAAAAAAATTTGTTCTAATTTGAAACTTGTTTGTTGAAACGCTTTGTTTTATAAAGACCATCTTGCGGTGGTCATTAACCTCTGTACTAAATTAAAACATAATTTTTTGTTAAATAACAATATTAGATAATTTTGTACCGAGTCTGGATAGTATGTGATAAATTCACTAAAATGTTTCCTCAATAAAATATGTTTCCGAATTCGAATTTTTACTTCCTCTTTGGTTATTGCCTGCCTTTTAGTTTAGGTGTTTCAATAAATTTTATTAAGATATATTACATTTGTTATAGGTTACATCTAAATAATAAATGCTGAAATTTAATCACATTATCAGTTATCAGTAAAAATGAAATATACAGGATCTCCAGGCAATTTGTAGGCGATCATCGGATTTGGGTAGATTTGTAAAAATACTATAATAAATTAATACAATTTTCTTTGGTAATGTTATTAATTCTTGAAGCTGAGAGATGAAAATCGATTTTTCATTATAATTTTTTTGTTTCCAAAATTTGGATAATTTCTGTCAGTTTCTAAGTGAAAAAGGTATACATGCCTATTATCTTTAAAATGAACCATTGTCGTGGTAAAAACGATTAGCTATAAAAATACCACCGTATTCTACTGAATACGATATTGTTTTCATATATTTATTACTACTGAGATGTTAGTCCATTGAAAAGTTACATTTGAGGTTGCAAAAGTCAGAGCACGCAATTTTATTTTTTGGATGTCAAGAGGGGGTTAGTGTAAAGTTAAATCCATGTTTGTGGGGTCGCAACCCTTGAGCGTCGGCCGCCATTTTGTAAAAAGGGCTGCGAATGGTTTTTATACTACTACTTACTATATCGGCCAAACTATTCCTCGCAGAGAAAATTTGTAAATACATTTCTTGTTGCAAATTAAATTCTCTACAAATTTGGTTCCGTAACTTTTAGTCGTAGAACCAAAAATAACAAAGTTATTAACGAAAATAGATAAAAATTTGGGAAGAAATTTTCTTTTGGTCGTTATAACTTTTTTTCTGGTCATTTTACAAAAAAATTACATCAGAGCATTTTGATAGAGGGGTTTTCAAGGAATAATTTCCATTACAAACTTTTTTCAAATTTTATTTATTTATTAGGATTTTACAGCGATGCGAAACTATGAATATGAATGATTAGGCATAGGAGGCGTCCTTCAAAGTTTTCTTCCAGTTGTGCTACCACGTGCGTGCGTGACATATTTAATTGTGAAAAGTATTTTGAGTTTTGTGGACAGTATTTTGAATTTTGTGGACAAGATTTTGAGTTTTGTGAGAGCTATTTTGAATTTTGTGATAAGCATTTTGACTTTTTTTAAGCGTTCATATAGTGTTATTCCATCATGAG